CATCCCGAAGCCCAACCCAGCGATGAATTCGGAAGTATACCTGAATATAGCATGCACAATCTCATGCGGGACATGATCCATGCGTTCGCGAAAATCGGGATTGATGAGGGCGATTTCGCGAGAGCGAGATTCTGATGAACTTTTAATTAATGCCCGAAACACGCTTCTCTGAACCGCGTTTTCGAAGAATCCCATTCGGAAATCAGTCAAATGGGTCGCCCCGGGACGAATATTAAAAAGTTCGACAGAAAACTTCCTTCGTCAGTAACTACCGGCACCGTTGCCGTAGCTTGCGGTTGAAGTGTCGTCCTTTTGACGTCTTCGAGCAAAATTTTCAGAATTCAAAATTGAACCGCATGGACTCTGCCTACGCGTGTCGAGAATCTTGACACTTGTCAAGTCAGTTGCTTCAAAACAAGAAACAACTTTGATAGCAGGCGTTGAACCTGGCGAATGCTTCGAGTTTCTGGTCAGCTTCAAGCTGTCTGCCGTCAAAAATTGTGAAAGACTAAAATGAATTATCACGAGGGTGTTCCATCACGGAAAAAGTATTTCGTTCGCTTTCCTCAGTCGTACGAGTGCGTTTAGAAATTATCCCGGGTAGCTCTTCCGAGTGTCTTGCAGAATTTAAGGAGTTTCCCTGCCAGAGAGACAGCACGCGCGGATGAGGGACCTTCCCCGGGAGATTGGACAGGACCGTCGCATGAACAGTGTTTTGTAATAAGCTACATGAGAAGAGGAGAGGAGCACTTTCCACATCGAGCACTGAACAGAGGCCAGAACCGATTGTGTCCTAAGTAGCTGTAGTCATATCTTCCTGATCGATGTCTTGTCAGGATCGGCTGTGATATTTCGAATGAATTTTCTCTGGCCTACTCATGCTCTCGAGAGATGATGATCATGAATCATCATGAGGTCTATTCAGCATCGAATCCAGGAACTTGCTCGGTCTGAGAGTCGTACCACAAGATTTCCGATGCCGCGCCGATCCCCAAGTACACTGCAGTGGTGCGGAGGCTTCCAGAATGAGCCAGACTACGTTCAAACCGACATCAAAATCAGAGGAGACGGAGACGCGGGACATTCATATCTACTCGCTTCGGTTCCCAGGCTCGATGCACTGGCTGGATTGGTGTTTCTACGGAAGCTAGATTCCTGATCGATCTTCTCGCTGCAGACGCGACATTTTAATGAGCGATCATAGCCACGGGGATCAACGCATGAACCCATGGAATGGCTGTAATTAAAGCACGGAGAAGATCAGAAAACATAACACGAATTCGCATCACGCAGAATATTAAAGTCCGTCAGGACAATTGGTTGACGGCGTGTGCGACTCTCGAAGCGATGACGTCATCTGCGATTCGCTCTGCTGTCTGACGATGCAAGTTCATAGCGCCTCGGGAAGGTCAATGATAGCTTGGAGGATCTGGAGGAAGCCGAGAAGAATCCTGTCCAAGGAAATCCCTATTACCGAGGGGCTGGGCTTATTCTATTGTCAGGTAATTTTGGAATGGATATTTTTCGCATCGTCCGAGTTTCGATCGCAGCCTTCGAGCGCCGAAAGCATGGTTTTTCTTCTGGAAGCGTCATTCCCCGAGAGCGGCCGCAAGTGAAGACTTCACCGAGGGTGCAATCGGAATCACTTCAGGAGACCTGTCTGGCTGGATTCCTCTTGGTCAACGCGGCCCTCTCAGGATATTCGTTCGGACCGTTTCATTTGCCTGAATACAGTACGGATCGCGCTCCCGAGCAGCGAACCACCGAAGGGGTCCCTCGAGGATACGACAGACTTCAGAAGAATCGAGATCAGAGCCTTTAATCAGGAATGGCTCGTTTCTTTCTCCCATTTAAAGAAGTTTTCTCTGCATGATCCTGGATGTAGCTCATATGAGCCTAATTACTCGTTGAGCAGGGTTTGGGACCTGGTTTTGAGCTCGGCATCTCGTCTGGCGCCGGCTTGTGGAGCTTCCGATCTCGCCCTTTGTCCATTGATCCCGGCATGCTGAACGGAAGTAAGTGATTGCCGAAGAGAATGAAATTCGTTCTGCCCTGTATTGATTGAGTTCTTAAGATCCCCGTTTGAACGACCCTCCGCCCTTCTCAGCGATCGGTTCCTGAGTCTTGGATTCCCATTTCAGTCCATCATGTTTTCAAGTACTGATTGAATCTTATTAGCATTCTTCACGGGGATGGGTCGAAATCCCTCAGTGATCCTGATATTCTGATCAGGGTCAGAGACTATCTGTTTCAGCGGACTTGAGGTATGCTGGATGCGGCAAATCAATAGCAATGCTTTAGATAGAGAATATCCAAGGAGACTTCAGCTTGGCTCCAAATCAAAATGGATTTAGAAAATTTCACATCATAATGCCGTCCAAGCAAGCCCGTCCTCCTCGGGGTTTGTAGTCTCAAATTCTTGCGATCCCGGTCGCTCAGTTCCGCCGAGAGACGTTCCATGGTTTTCGAGACTGAGTGAGAGCAAAAGAAGGCACCCATTTGAGAGCGGGGGTCGGCAACACGAAGGGACGCGAAGAATGCGGCTCACTAAATTCTCAGAGAAAGATGCGCTCGTGGATTCCTATTGTTTTTGCCAGTAGGTGTACTCGCTTCGTTCCAGTCCAGAACTATCAAAGGGCCGTCTTTTATGGGTTTGGTCATTTTTGGCAAGTGTTTTCGCAGGATCCGCCTTATGATCTTTTTACCGCCTTCTCGGTCGAGCGGCCAAATGACCGCAGATGGAATATTTGGCCTCGACAATTGGAAGCATTCTGAATAAAATGCCGCTCTTCGTTATGCTCTCATTCAATCAGAGAGCGATCCTCCCATCGGCTGCGGGAACACTTGGCCCGCTGACTGCTTAATTTCCAGGGCTTGGTTGGCGATTCAGGAATTCATCAACGAAGGCGGCGCCGATACCTCCCGACCAACTGCAGTGATGGATAGATTGGAAACACACGAATCGTCTTTTCCGATCACTGGAAACCCCTGTCGGCTCGTTGATGAGTGAGCTTGGCAGCATGAATTGCAATCAATATCTGAATACCCTCCCCCGTTAGACAAATGCAATATCGCGGAGCTGGTTCCTCTAGCCTCACGTCCGTCGTTTGTTCGCCGACTTCATTTGTCCCACCTGAGAGTGTCCGAGTCGGCGAGAGTATTCTCGAATTGTATGGGCCGGTGTCCTTAGGACTGGTGATAAATTACTTGAGCTCGAGCTGCCCCCGAGACTCACAAAGCTGATACATTAACCAGGTATGGCTTTCAGAGCGAGTTTTCCCACGGCAAGCGAGAAGATCTCCGTTGTATCCGACGGTGGGAAGATCCTAGCTCGGGAAGCAGCCAATCGTTCGGAGTGAAGGTGCTGGCTGTGAGTCTTAGGATCTTCATGCAGATTCGGCCGGGGAAAGTGTTTTCGTCAGCTAAGCCGAGTTTTCTCTTATTCTGATGCAAACGATCTTCCTGGCCGTCTCGGTCTCACAGTCAGTTGACTTCCGAAGGCTGAGAACTTCACCCACACATGTCAGGGTTGAGAAGAAAAACTGCTTGAATAAACATCGAAACAAAAGCATTGAATACCGTTGCTGCTATGAAGCAAATTCGTTGAGCGATGCTCACCCTGTCGCGCTAACATCTGGAGCATGAATCAGAAATCTTGTTGGGCTCCCGTTGGTAAACTCGGAAAAAAGTATCTCCCTTCGGATGAATTATATATCTTCTCGTGATCATCTATTCCCCTGTCAGAAAGAGGCTCTTCCCCAGAGTCAGCACCGGAAGGAATAGGCTATGCGTGAGTATGGAAATCTCCGAGGCAAGAGAAAACTGCAGACTAGTGTCACGCCTCGATTGTTCCGTCATACGTTGATTTCACCTTGGAACAGAAATACTCATAAGGGAGACCCTCGATTGCACCCTTGTCCCCCTCTCCCGCCCCCCTGAATACGCCTCTTGGGGTGATCGATGTATTTTGCGAGGGGCGCATCTGAGTCGCGCACGGCTCTCACATGGGAGGTATAGGGCCGACCCCTCCTTCGACATAAGAGTCTCCGAGGCTCCTTAGATGACATTTATTCCTCCTCATCTTACCCTGTCTAATCTGTTTTATTTCTTAAATATATGCAGGGGATTCTCCATTTCTTCGCTTCCCGTCTCACCTCAAACGAATTTCTCAGCTCGGTCCTGGTGAATCACAGCAGCTCCGGGTTGCATCCGGGGATTTTCGGCGGTAATTCACGCTGCTCATGTCAATGGAGCCTTCAATGGGGGGTCTGTGACGTTGCTTCCACAATTAGCTCGTAAATTCTGTATCTCAAGCCTCGACCAGGCTCGAAGTGAGCCTTCGACAAAGCTAATTGAGCCTCTCCTGCTGGATTCCACGGGATCGTTTTATTCATCTCAAAAATCATGGATGACACATGTTCTCGAAGAAGACTAGATATGATGTGTGGAAGGGCTCTCTGATTCCCGCGAAGATTCTTTCACAAATGTTCAGGCTTGCCTCCTGTCACTGGCTGTCTGATTCCACAACGGAACTATAATAATCTCAACTATAAATAAATATGGGAGCAGCACGTCCAGCGCGCTGTATGAGATATTGGCGGACGAAAAAATACTCTAATTTGCAGGATGTTGATCCGAGATATGAAGGCGGAAAGTTTTGACTAGAATGAATTGGCCTACTTGAGTATAACGTCGTAGTGAGATCTTCGGAAAGGACCCTCATCGCAAGCCGCTTGTAAATCACTGCAAGGCGGAGATTCCCCAAACACTCCAGGAAACGTCTGAGATTTCTGCTCCCTCCTGAGAGCCCATAGGTCGGTGAGGAGACCCAATACTCCAATGTGCGAGGCGCGATAGAGTCTCGAAAAAGGCATCTTCGGAAGGCTTCGGTATTTTAGGTGAGAGTATTGAATCTCCCGCGATATTTTCGTCGTACCTTGTACGTGCCCAAGAATATACAGTGCCGATTAGAGCCCTTGGCGGGGCCATATCAAACCGATCTAGCCGTCCAAAGGTTGACCGAGATAGACCATGGACACTTCAGTGTTCCCATAAACCGCCGATACAGCAGGATAGAGTTTTGTGCCCTCAGGAAGTTTCCGGAACGCGACCCCCAAGAACTCGGCGTTTTGTCTCTCGAAGGATAGGGTCTGGTCTTCGCAATCCAAGATGACGCGGATGCGTTCGCCAACCTAGATGGATGCAAGAATCTCTCAGATCGTGTGAGACGGTTATTTCAAGATATCGATGAGATCGAGGCGATTCAGTGTCCGGCTTTATTTCGGAAGTCCCGATGTATCATCTCACCTGATACTTTTGTGGATTGTTGAGATGCGGATAGGTACCGTGGCAGTCACCATTATGGAGCAGCACATTATCAACGAGGTTCCAACCCCATGATTCTGCATTCGAACCCATGAGCGCGACGTATCCCTGACAGTGAACCGGGGCTTCCTAAGAAAAGGATACGCTGAGACTTTGGTCGATAAAGATACCTGCTCTCGGAGTCTCCCGTATGTCTCCGATCGGAAGTTCGAAGAGCTCACCTTCGTCGAAACTCCTATGACAGCCACCGTGCCCAGAGGGCCTTCCCACCAGACCTCCCAGCAGTGGCGACCGCTCCGAAAACCTTGAAATAAGACGAGCCTTTTTAGGGATTTCGCATTCCCCACCTTTCTCGATTTCTTGGTCAGAGATGCTCGGACACGAATTTTTATGTGTATGTCGGCCCCAGGATGCGGTTTTGTGGGAAGAGGGAGAATTATCCGATTACGGTCCTCCTTGGGACCCTCAGCGTACTACAGTCCATACAAAGACTCGAGGGTACGTGCTCCCTTACCTATCTTGCCTTTGGCGGCATCGGTCGATTGTGCTACAGGATTCCGATGAATGGTGAACCCATTCGCTTTGACGTAGACGTTCCGAGAGCATTCTGCAGGGTCCCACGCATGATAGAGACCCCGTAATTTGGCTTTGTACGTTGGGGCATCTGACAGAAGTTCGGATTGCAGGGCGTCGGGGGCGAGTCGCCGCGCGCACTGGAGTCTCCACACTTCACCATTTTCATCGGACAACAGGACGTGGAAGCGACGACACACCAGTGCGCAGTTCCTCAAAGAGTTGAAGTCAAGAAATGTGAATATGTACTCTAGAATCGATCGAGGAAGCGCCGCGAGGCTCGCGGCCCTCGCTGGGGGCGCCATTCCGGGGCTGGCACCGATCTGCGCCCACCCGACGGTGCGACCGGCTCTAGTCCCCTGTTTGTTGTCGAGGAGGGAGTCGCGCTCAACGATCTCGGATTGCGATGAATGCATTTTGTTGACATTAAGACCCGATATACTCGCGACCGTATGGCTGTACCGTTGCACAATGGGATCTCCGTACGGTTGTACGTATGGTGGAGAGATCCAAGAACTTCAAGAATCAGTCAAACCCATCGCAGACCTGTGCAAGAATAACTGATTTATAGGGAGGAGAAGCGAATTCTGTTGATGCGGGAGAATGTGCTGTTACGGATTTCCATCCCAACCGCCCGCTCATTGCAGACGACGAAGAATGCATCGATCAATGTAAACCTTGGGGTGCTCCATAATAGAGTGTGTGAACACCGGGTCGGGTACGAAGTACGATCATCAGACGCCGACTGCAAAAGATCGCTACCCTTGGATCTCGAACGATCTCAGGAGATTCTCTCGGGGCTCATCGCCCGCAGGAAGTCCTAACAGCAGCCCCAGACGTACGAATCCTGTAGCCATTCTTTGTTCGAGAGTTTGATTGAAGTTTCGTCAATGGTTAATGTTGTGAAGGGCATCCTCGTCGAATGCGATGCTGCGATGAAGGAGTTCCTGAATCATCTGGACGAAACCAAAGCTCTCGGACAAACGTTCATTATTCAGGTAGATTCCAAATCGATCCTCGTAGCAGTTCCTGTGTTTGGAAAAGGGCGACTCATTTATTCCCATCACATTCCGGGAGAGCGCGCTCTGATGTTGTTCTCTTTTTTTTTTGTAGGACCTAGATGAAACCCATCTTTTCATAGCCAGTGAAATCATTGATACCCTCCTGAACAAAGTTGATGATCTCATGGAGAGGCTGTCGTTCCCGATCACGGAATGAATTCACTGAGCGCTCGTGTCCAGGGTGTCGATAACTGAAGCCTTCAGTGGGGCTCGGGAGCATGATGGAAGACATACGTGATGATGGTACAGTCGAAGCCTTCGAAGTCATCGAGTCCGAAGACGTTCCTGGCGGAGACAACGGAATGTCGTCGCACATGTACGAGCAGAATAAGAGGCTTCGGCGACATCAATGTCAACAGTGTCCGAGTAACTTTCCTCGACAAACGGAACTCAATACACACAAGTGGCTCGTACACGGCATTTTCTGCTCGCTACTCGTCGAAGAATGTCCCGAGCCGAATTGCGACTTTACCTGTGAATCGAAAGGATTGCTCTTGGAGCATCTGCATTTCACCCACAATGTCGATGTAAAACTGGTTTCCGCCCAGTTCGAGACAGAGAGCGATTTCGATGTTTGGCTGCAGCAGTTTCAGTACGAGAACTCCTCAGATTTCGTTCTTTGCACGACGCAGAGTAATTCCAAATATCGGACTCGTTTGTATACGTGCGTCTTCGAGGCGCAACCGAAACGCTGCGATCCCCATAAGAGCCTGCGCGTTAAACGGCAGTGCGCCGCTCATCTTCTCGTGAAAGTTCCTCGAGTTGACGGTAAGGGCAAAGTTGAAGTATTGGGATCCTCGCACCACAATCATCTGACCGCTCCTCTTCCGCAAAGAGAACTTGTCGAGGACGAGGAAGCCGTCATGATGCCGCAGTCAGCGTCGCTTTCCGAAATGTTTCAAGTGAGTTGAGAAGCCTCAGAATCTCAGCAATCTTTATGTCTCGAGTCCCACGTATCGCTCGCAGCATTCCGAGTGAACCCTTCCCTTGGCTTCCCTCCAGACGGCGCAACAAGTAATCCAGCTGACAGACGAGCTCCGAGTCGATCTCGCTGCTGAAAATCCACCGTCGGATCATCTCGCTCAAGTGGAAATGAAACTTCTTCATCTCAAACAGGTACGATTCTGCTCCGAGCTCTGTTAGGGCAGTGGTGTCATCGCTATCGTCTTTCCTTTTCCGACCGAATATCCTCGGTCCCCATCAGCTCCTGATCAAGAAATGTTCCTTCGCAGATACTGCACACTTATGATCAACCGTCAGCTCTGACAGTGGTTCCCGTTCTCGATGATATACCCCATGTCGCAGAATCGGCCGTGATTATGGATGCCGGTCAAATAGAGATCGACTGCGATGCCGCGCTCAACGAGCAGGAGCAGATCACGATATCTTGAGTCTTGTAAATGTTCGTTCAGTTTTTCAAATAAATTCATCGACGATCGTCCATCGTAGTTTCGAGACTCTTCCAAGTTACACAGTTCTGACGGCGCAGCTCTTCGACAGAGTTGACTCCTCCGACCTCAAAGCTTCACGGATCTGGGCTTCGACCTCCGGAGGGGGCTTCGTAAGTGGAGATCGGGAGACAACCCAGATGTGATGATGGGTTTTTCAATTACCTACTCGGGGGAAAGAATCAGAATCTGAGAGACATCAAGTGGGAGGACTTGAGAGTGATGAGTCACGAGATACATGACAAAGCAGCATCTTGAAGATCGCCTCCGCTGAAGAGCTCGGCTCCGGAAAAGGGCAAGAAGGGTCAACACTCTGAGGAGGAGCTTTCTGTGAGGTCGTAATCGGGAGCAGAGTTGCTTCCCCAATATTTTGAAAAAGATCCTCCCTAGTGGGGAGACCTTAGCACACTGCTCGTCGTGGGAACTGAGCTACACTCTCCCGGGCCGGTGAGAGGTGACTTTACCTCTCGGAGCATCCTGTGTTGAGTGCGGTGTCCCGGGTGCTGGCTTCCTGATCGGCATTCTCAAGCGAGATCGTCTCAATCTAGGCGACTCGGGAATTAAATCGCAACATTTTTCGTCTTCCGATCGTCAGCCAGCTGAGTCGGCATCAGCTCGGCCCGCATTTATTTTGGTAAAAAAAAACACCATTGGGTCTGACAACAGTAGGCGGATCGTCCAAGAAGCTCCGTCGATCGCCATCGTCAGCTCTCTCTCATATCGATTCGCTACATCATCACTTGATAATAACGCAATGGATACCTCTTATGATAATGACGAATTTATGGGCAAGAAGGGATCCCAACCGAACAACAAGCTAGAAACAATGTCGAGTGCTGACTCCAAGACGTAGGAGGATTGAGAGTGTAAGATCTTTATCTTATGAACAAAAGAAATGCTCACCGATGGATTCGACGATGATGATCCATGACTCAGAAGTCGATTCATCGGGGGCAAATGACAAAAGACTTGTAGAGATTGGATGTATCTACATGTAATCGTACTCTCCATGCATCGCTTCGTCATGGATTCTCATATTTGTGTGACCACTATATACACAGTTGAAACATTTTTGCGACGAGTCCAGAACAGACGATCCCGCGGCAGCAGCGATCTGCCACCCCACGAGTTCTGCACCTCTCTCAGAAATTCCTTCGGGAAGATTGCTAGCTCTACGGTACGGTGATCAGACGAAACGGCGGTCTCCGGCGGATGATGCGAATTGTATCCTTCGTTTTTCCAGCAGGTTCTCAACACAACCCCAAAGCTTCACAGGGGAGAATCCCGCAACGAAAATATCCACCTGCTAAATCCTATCTCTTCTGCCTCAGTGACTGTGCAGTCATTTCAGCTTATTTAACTTTGCCCCCTCGGTTCCTCCGCCCCCGACGCTCCAATCCGCCCGATCCACAAGGATTGTTTGCCCGCGACGGGCTCCTCTCCAAAAGTGTTGTATTTCCCCCGGTTTCGTCGTCGCAAAGTACGTATAGAACGTCCATCCTGATGTTAGCCGATTCCTGAATCAGTTTTCGAGAAATTTTCTAATATAGGCCAGCCATAAGGGATATATTCCCATGGGGATAGGCAGCATCGGTGTGTCGAGCTATCACGAAGATGGTAAAGCTTGGAGACCGGTGGAATGCATCTCCCTGAGTCAATGATCCGTAGATATTCCGAGGCTCATATGGTCGCTTATCTATCAGAAGGTCTTCGTGATCGATACGTGTCGGGGGAAATCGTCGAATGTTCTGAGAGATGCGCCTCTTCAATTCAGGATTTCCCCGAAGGCAGAGACAATTGTGTGTGCTTGTTCTATCATATTTTTTGGTATCATTCTGTCGACGGGTTCCCAGAGAGCAGAGACAAAGGTTTCCTTAGAAATGTATTTCCCGTTGAGAAAGCCTCGCTCTTCTGTGTGTATCCATGTCTGATTCTGTCTGTTTCTGATGAACGTATACGTGTGCGCGTGTTGTTGTATTGGTCGATGTCAGTTAATGAAACAACTGCCCAGTCCGCATGGTATTACACTGACGGCTGCTCGTAGCCACTCACACTACTCGTCCTGGCTCTTGTTCCTCTTCAGGGTCGGCTCCTCTTTCAAGTCCGAGTTGTTCAGGCTGAGGCGGTGGTGTGCCCGTTTTTGCGGCGAGGATCCTTCGTCTTCACCTTCGCTTCGATCGTCTTCATCGAGAGGCTCCTCCTCGGCTTCAGTCTGCAACTCCTCGTCCTTCTGATCTCCAGCTCCATCCTGCGTCGTTTCCGCGTCAAGTTCAGGACCGTTGGTGTTGGTGCTCTTGTTCGCCTGCTGTGGGCTGACACGGGCTGATTCCGATCCGGCTTGATTACCGGCATTCATTCTGAGGACAACCCGTTCGACATCCTCATCTTCGTCATCGTCTTCATCGTTGCTTTTCTCTTCTTCGATAGCTGTATCGACGATCCCATTCGTGTTTCGGCACGCATCGTCGTTCCGCTGCTCCTCCTCGTCCTCGTCGTCGTCTTCGAGGGAATTTTCCGTTTCCATCTGGAGACCCGAGTCCTGATCGGCTGTTTCACTCGATTTCTGTTCCGTTCTCGACGTGCCCGTCGACGGTGACAATTTCGATGCTGAACCAGTGGCGGCCTGTCCTGCTGCTACCGCAGCTGCTCGGGGCGGGGATCCCGCCGTGGAAGTTGTGCCTTCCTTCAGTCGTTTCACTGCTTCGATTAACACAAGGTACGCGAACTTAAGCTGATCCGGCGTTTGGATGAGACCGATTCGACTCTTCCGAAGTTCGAGCAAAATTTCCTGCACGTCGATATCCCCATTATCTTTAACAGTGCCATCTTCTAACATTTTCAGGATGACGTCAACTAAACAAAATGTTCCCGACCGACCGATTCCCGCCGAGCAATGAATCACCGGGGGCCCCGTTTCGTTGGAAAGCAGACCCGAACCGCGCACCCGATCGAGAAACTCCAGAAAGTCGTCCGGGTACTGCGGAATGCCGAAATCCGGCCACTCGGTGTATTGGAACTGCACGAGCTCTCGACTGTCGTTTGTTTTGGTGTCGGTCACTTTCATCACTCGTCGGATATAGCTGTCGGTTTCTTCTTCGCTAAGTAGCTGCACATTAAGCTGCAGGTCGGGGATGTCGAGCGGGTCTTCGGCGTCGGGCCAGTACTTATGGCACTTTATCCGCTGCTTCTCTATGATTTTGTTCAACATGACGATCGATGGAACCTTCTGCTCCCAGACCATCAACCAAAAATGTCCTACTGTATCTTCGAGAGGTCCCTGAGTTAGGACGTAGGCTCGCTTCGCTCGTTCATAGGTCACCGTGTTCGCATTGATGTAGTCGATGTCGCCGCGCGTGAGAATTACACGGCTGTGGTCGAATGGTAGGACATCGGTGTAACGGTTGAGCTTACGGTTCTCCGGTTTCCTTGCGGTACGGAAACTGAGGTTTTGCACATCCGACTTACTTCTGAGGGCACAATAAATGCGAGTCCAATCCTGGTTTTGTTCGATTTCGTCGAATTCGGCTTCCATTCCGTTCTCACGCAGAGGCGGCGAGGCGCACCGGCTGATCTTCGCCGACGAAAGGAAGCCCGAAAGCTTCGACAGAGCCTTTCGTCCGAAATCTATAGCCATCAAACTCTCTCTGAATGAGGAGACCACCAACCAACTACGATCAACCAGCCAGCCAAGTACTCAGCCAGGCAGACATGCAACTGTGTGGTACGGAGGTACGGCGCTCCTAGCGGTACGGCAGCTACGGTATCTTCAGCACACGTTCCCGAGGAACAGGAGGAACGCGCGACGGAAGACGGCAAATGATCATTCCAGATGCTAGCGGAGTGAAGTGAGATTGCAGACGGACTCAGCTTTACAATCCCGATAACAATAACAATCCTGATGATGACGACGATGATCTTTGGTGGATACGGGCAGAGTATGCGAATTCCCGTCCCTTTCGCATTTTTTCAAATCAAAGCCGGATTGTAGGGGACAGTGATAGATAATTTCCAGTAGCGCTCGCGATTCCCTACGATTTCTATCACGATACCTTTCGTACTATCCACGTCGACTATCGAGGAAATCGGAGAAAACCTGATAGATCGCGAATCCCCAGATTTTGGAGTGAGCCTTCGAAATAAGGCCTGATTGCTGTAATCGCCGCTATTTTCGGTAGACTCGGGAGTCCCTAAGATCTGTGGGTTCTGTGAACAGAAAACGCCTCCTCTCGCAAGGGGTTCAGGCATCCGGGGGACTCTCCGGCTTCCCGAAAGCGATGATAGCGAGGATCAGGAATTATCGATCACTGAAATCGTCAGATTCCTTCTCGACCACGGAAGTCGAGATCAGTGGCGTTCGAAGAAAGAGAGAAAGCTATGGGGGCTAAGGCTCCTTCCCGATAGATGCCTCGGTGATGCTAGGGTGTAGGAGCGAATTGGCATATTGGACTTCAGCCCCATGTGAAGACCCGAGCCAGGTCACCCCCCCCCACCTGGGAATTCTTGTATCCGCCACTCCACCAACCATGGCGTTTTCGCTCATGAAACCATTCCTAGTAGATGAGAGAGTCGGTTCTGAATCGATCGGGAGGCAGGCATTTCGATCGGGTGCAAGGAATCCTCAGAGCCGAACTAGAGGAGCGCGAAAGGGGAGGGAGTTGCGTCCCTTCTGGAGCCGAAGGCAAGAAGGCTCCATTGGGGTCATCCTCTCTTCAGGTGAGCCGATACCATCTCTACGCCGAAGGGCCCTGGAGGGATACACAAGATATTGCTGAGCGGAGGTTCGGGAGCCGACTCTTGAGTATCTCGAGTCATGTCGCAGCGCTCCCTACGTAACTCTTCTATCCCTCCCAAAGCTATTCTAGCACTGAAGGGTAAGATGCTCCGAGTCGTTTGAGAAAAACATCGGGGAAGCTGATTCGGTTCGTCAGTGAGCTGATATATGCCGATGTGGCCGTAGACTGATGATTGATGAGTAAGCGAGACGCCGACGCCGCGGGGGAAACAGAAGCTGAGGTGTACTCCTCGACGCATCTTTCGAGATCACTTTCTCGGCCCTAGCTCTACAATATCGGATCGAGGACAATTCCGGAGATGCTCGATTTCCCATGACACGTCAGCGAAGGCTCTGACAGAGAATGAATAGAAGCTTCATAGAGTCTCTCCGGAAGAAAATGGAAGGGAGGTGAGTTTCGTCAGCGGAATGAAGGTGTACTACGTTCTTTGCAGGATCGAATCTGGTACCAGGTTCAAACTGCACAACGTGCTCAGGGTAGCGTTCGCAAATGCGTTTCCATTCTTCGCTTTATGAGTAGCTTTTCGAGAGCTAGAGAGGGCTTTGATTCGATATCATGATATACGAAGTCAGATAATAATCGATGAGTGAATTAGTTTTCCCCAGGCCAGTCGGGGAAAGGCCTACTGAGCTCGTGATCAGTAGCGAACAAGGGATACGAGGATTAAGAACCAAAATTAGCACTGATGGAGACAAGGAATAGTCTAAGGATCACTGAAGGATCAGATAAAGTTTTGGACACAATCGGAAAACAACCAATCGTCACAAGAACCTGATATAGTCCCTCAGACCGCAAGATCCGGAAAGGAAGCGAATCGATCCCGGAATCCCTGAATCAGCCGATGAGTATCGACGCAACGAGCGACTTCGTTTGGAGTTCGAATTTGCGCGGCTGAGTCCTCCAAGAGGATGCGCCTCGGAAGCCGGACCATTGCTGAGGAGGAGGAGATCGAGGTAGGACTCACGAATCGGACTCAGGACGGTGAGGAACTCATCCATTCATCATTCAGAGAAATCTTTCAAAGGCTCCGTGGGCGAGGAATCCGCAACGCGCCTAGCGCCGCCCGATGGTGATCTTCCTCATCATTCCGATTTCTTTTATTTACTCTGCGTGAGGAACGGTCAGTCCTTAGCGCGCGAACCAACGTCTCCTCACCACAGTACCCACAGTAGCGAAAGGCGGCAGCGGCGGCGGCGACGACGACGACACAGCGAAAGCAAAACGACACGGGGACCGTCTATATGCTGAGCCGCTGCCAACAGGCTTCCCTTGCGGCGGCAGCACACTCGCGATTGCCTTTCCACACCTTCAGACAGCGTCTCTGAACGCGCTCACGCGGCGCAGGCATTCGCGAACAGGTGGATAACCTGGTAGCCGCTCGAATACTGTAATGAAGTGACTGACAGTCGATCATCGAGTCGTGGTGCACTGTCTTCCGAAGTTCGACAGGAATCCACTCTCGCTCACGAATCCACTGCCGTTGACCGGTTCGTGCATCGGCGAATACGGAAAGAACGGATCCTGTCGGATCGTGGGTGATCTCAGCGAGGATAAGATAGTGTTCTTATCTTCCGTTCGAGTTCGCTATCGAAGTGTTCGAGTGAGAGCTGCGGCCAGTGAGCGGGAAAGTGAGCGAGCAGGCGAATAGGATCACGGAGAGGAATCGAAAGGGTGAGCTGCGAGGCGGTCATCTCGAGTCTCCTCCACAAAGAACGGGATAGCCACCGATGTCAACGCTTCGCTGACAATCTAAGGTATGTACGCTGTGTATCAAGCTTTCAGAAAACACTCCTTTCGCATGCGGGACGTGTTTACGCTTGAACCTCCGTAGCTCGGTACAATTTCCACGGGAAGAACCCGAGTGATATTCTGTGAGAAGCGGTCTGACGCCAGCGGAGTTGAATTGGTCAGCCGCTTGGAAGGCTGCCTCACCGGTGCTGGGGCTCTTCTCTCGTGGCAGGACTTCTTTTCGTTCTCGTATTCGCCCATCGGACGGCGAACTTCACTCTCTCCATGGCAGCAGCCATGGAAGCGAAGAAGGCTGCGCCATCGGAGACTGAGGTCCGGCTCGGCGAAGAGCGAATTCTCGTCAAAATAAGAAACTATCCGCTGACGTTTTTTTCGACGTGCTTGCTCGGAGCGAAATCTCTAGAGGACGCCGGGAGCAATCCCCAGGTCTACTGTCCCACTGTCTCTCAGTAGATGCGAAGGGGAAATCCCGAAGTAATTTTTAACGAGTGCTCCGTCATTTTCAATGATCCATCGAATTGAAGAGCTTTTCTGCTGCTGAATCTCTAGGAGTCGAGATTGAACTGCTGCCGTCGCGAGTATGGCTCTATCGATCGCCGGCCAACACGACAGCCGTGCTGGACCACTATTCGCCCGTACACAGGCGGAGTCGCTCGATTAGTGCCTTGAATGTTCCATCGGATTGAATATTTTAGAAAATATATTCTCGGCTCGAGCTAGTGGGTTTGCGCATGCTCATATGCGAGAGACAGCTTCCGCCGACCGGGCTATGCTCCCGTGTCTCTACATAGACCGTGTGACAGCCGTAGTCAGAATCAGAGCTTTCCAAATTTTTCGCTCGAAGATCTCTCCGATATGCGATGTCCCTTATCGAGCGTGGCTGCGGGATCGCTGGACTCGACGTTTTGGCCTTCCAAAACGCGACTCGAATTATTGTCCGAATGCTTTGGCCGTAATCTTCTCTGGGAGCTCTCGAGGTTTGGTCTGCTCGTTTGTTTAGAATTTTTTTTACTGGTCTCAGGATCCCATAATCTTTTTGGGCTACGCAGGGAGCAACCGCCAGAAACGAGTGGCTTAAATTCCGTGGACCGAATATTCCATTAGTACCGTGAATGACTGACGTAGGTCTCGAGTTGCTCGAATGGACGGCTTAGTCATCCGCCTGATCGCGGAATTCCGAAGGGGTCACGGGAGGAACCCCTCTCACCGCGGCACCAAAAATTCATTATCGATTCCGATGGTCGTGCTAATTGATCTCGCTTCAGCCTGGTCCGAGAGCCTCCGAGGGCAAAGATTTCGAAACAATTGACTGAGCTCCATTGAATTGGATGTCGTGGACTATCAATGAGAGCAATTCACCGCCTTGAAGTATCGGGACATTGATCGGAGGCTGATTCGTCACACTATTTTTCCTGATATCTCATCGCAGCCGGGAATACCCCGTGGAGTGAAGCTCTGCTCCACGCTTCCTGATGGAGTACTCCCAGTCGGATGCCGCATAATGCAGCGTGGCCTAGGTTCCAGTATTCTCATACAATCAAGTGATCATGGTCGCATAATTTCTACTCCTCGAAGAGGGGGAGGCACAGCGCATCAGCTACCGGATGAAGCCATATCGGATTACATTCTTGAGCCGGGAGGAGAGCGCTTTTCGGAGCTAAAGTTTCGATTAACGGGATGGTTTTGCCATAAACTTCCAGACAATCATGGGCCAACGGGTTTCCCGAAACGACTTCGAATGGACTTACACAGACGAGCCGCACGCGACCCGGCGAAAGGAAATCCTCAAGAAGTACCCTGAGATCAAAAAATTGATGCATCACGATGCCCGTTTCAAATGGATAGTTTCCGGCCTCGTACTCATCCAAGTGTTGATGTGTGTTCTGCTGGCGAATGCGAGCTGGCAGACATGCCTCCTGCTCGGCTATCTGTTCGGAGGTGAGACTGCAAAACCATGACCCAAGTCGAATTTCAGAACTGACACGGCACCTTGGTTATTTCCTCTGTGATTTACTTGCGGCGAGGTATCAATTCCGGCTCGGACCAGTCTCGGGGATCGTCCGCTGACTAAAGGATTGTTTGTTATCTTCTCAGGAGTCATAAACCATGCGCTAATGTTGGCAGTCCACGAGACAGCTCATAATCAGGCCTTCGGACAGACATCAGCGTTGCCCAATCGATTGTTCGGGATGTTCGCCAACCTACCAATCGGTATTCCAATGTCGATTTCGTTCCGGAAATATCATTTAGAACATCACAGGTACCAGGGAGACGAACGGCTCGACACCGACATCCCCACGGAGATCGAGGCGAGACTTTTCAACCGGACCTTCAGCAAAGCGATCTGGATTTGCTTCCAGAGCTGTTTCTATGCGATTCGACCTCTCGTAGTGTATCCGAAGTCGCCCTCGTATTTGGAGTACATCAACCTCTGTGTTCAGCTCGTGTTCGATTTGCTCATATTCCATTTCTGTGGTGGGAAGGTCCTCTTCATCTACATTATCTTGGGCTCGCTGTTGGCCATGGGACCCCATCCCGTCGCCGGGCATTTCATTTCCGAGCATTACATGTTCCTCAAAGGACACGAGACCTACTCCTACTATGGGCCATTGAACTACGTGACGTTCAATGTCGGCTATCACATGGAGCACCACGATTTTCCCAGCGTTCCGTTCAGCCGGCTGCCCGAAGTGAGGCGTATCGCTCCCGAATATTACGATACTCTGCCGCACCACATGTCCTGGACGAAAGTCATCTGGGATTTCATCACAGATCCGGAAATCGGACCGTACGCGAGAGTCAAGAGGAGGCATCTGAAGAAACAGGACAAGAACTGCAACGGAGACGCGTGTTTGAACGAACAGCTGGTGTATGCATCCAAGATAACTAGTTGAGACTGGATATGCGCGGACGTCAAGACACCTCCTTGTGCGTCCTCTGTACCCTTTCAGAGAGAATCTCTCATTTCGCGAGGGAAAATGATGTAGGGATGACATCGCAGAAATGACGAAATGTACTCGATAGTAGAGAAGATGAATTATGCTTGTGATAGGCTCAGCGTGCTCCTCGGCGCCTCCCACATTGCCGAATCCTCGAGGGGGAAGATGCACGACCACTCGATGAATCTCGTGGAGCGAGTTTCTCATCTCGCCGCACCTATCTCATGACCTGTGACTGCGTTTGAGGTAAATTCCTGCTTGGCGTCGAAGTTTCCCGAGTTGAAGTATCTGGAATGTGTATGACTCTGGCAATCTCTGGTTTGGAAACCGGGTCTGCTCGCCGTTCCGTAGTGCCTCCAGAGAAACGTGATGGTGATTATTCGGGAGGACTCCGATTCTCTCAACTTCACACAAAAGAAAGAACGTGAACATTCTGAATTCGACGCAGATCACGTAGCCGAGCATCTTCCGTAAAATTGAGATTGACAGTCCCGTCCCGATACTGCAGACGTGGTTCGGAAATCTGTTCGATACAAAGGTACACACAGATTAGTCTGGAAGAACCCATGTCACATACCGGATAGATTATTTTCAGGAGGGTACATGACTATTCTTTTTGCGTGCGAGCTCGGAACGGATGTCTTGGCATGATCGCCATGGCCGCTCTGAAATCTATGGTCACAATTCTATGGGCGGAGAACCATAATGAGTGGTCTCTGGGTATTGTACATGGAGACTGGCGGATTGTTAACTAGGAGCATTATGCGCGTACGAGGATATCGATTGAATGATATATAAAAGTTTCTTCACTCCCAGAAGAGGTGTTTTCTCTCCATCGACATCACAAGTTCAGGCCGTGAGCGCTGAATTTTTGTAACTGCTCTTTTCCTTTCAGAAGAAGTCCCGGGGAAGGCGACCGGTGGAAATGCATAGAGTAGAGCCGAGTTTGTCGAGGGCTGGGTCCTTGCTTTATTTTCTTTCTCGAGAATATTCCTCATTCACGTTTATAAGCTTGCTCAATATACGGAGCCCTTCTAAGCGCACCGCTCCTGTCGAAAGGTTCATCAGCACAATGTATCTCAGCTCTGGCTTGTGAATTTTTCTTTTAATAAAAGGATGGGGCTCCCCGGGAAAGTATTCGTATGCAGACCGGCTTTTCGAGTGCGCGCAGTTGGCGTTCCTTATGATCACCGCGCCGTCCCGGTCGGTTTCAATGGCGGGAATCGTTCGATATCCTGGCGGTGACTCCTTGCGACAGCCGAGAGGCTCACGACACAGATTTCCATTCTTCGCTTCTGCCTTTCGTATTCTTATCCTGAAACCTGTAATCGATATGAAATGAAACTCCCAAGACCGAAGTCGGCGTAGGGGCGACAAGTATAATACATACAGAAGTCGAGACATTCAGTGCGGTTTACTTGCCAATTTATCGGGAGACGCGGCTTTAAAAACTCTTCCTTTGCAGTCTATTCGCCGCCGAGAAAGCGGGGACGGCCGCGGAAATCAGGTCCTTACACTGGAAGATTCGCCTGCATCTACGATGGATGCAACTACAGAGCCAAATGGAGAAGTCATCTAGAGATTCATACCCGAACGCACACAGGTACGATCAGGATATCAAATGTTTGCTCCCCCGCGAAGTTTCCCGACCATAAAACAGGATGAATCGTTCCTATGGGGTGTTTGGTTGAAAGGAAGTTTGGGGCAAGTGCCGGGCTCAATGATCTTCGTGCTACCCCCGCGAATACTTGCCACAGAGACTCTTCGATTCCCAGGAGAGAAGCCATTCGAGTGCCTTATGTGCGGTAGAGGGTTCTCACAGAAAGGACCCTTGTCAAGACATAGGTGCGGCGCAGAAGTTAGGCGGCGGGGACGGCCCCCGAAGGTTTACCCTTCCCCGCTCATGTTGTGTCCTGCGTCGATTCCGCCCATCGAGTATGGAATATCTGTGATTGGTAAGCGGGATATCCGAGTCCAAGCGGGTTTGACGAAATCGGGCGATCGGCTGCGAACTCCCGACCCATGGGGAAACATTCACCTCTGACTCTCGATTCCGCTTCAGAAATCGCAGAGCCTCATGATGACACAGAGATGAATGTGTATGTGATAGACGAATCTACCCCGAACCTCACGCAACCTAGATCCACTTAAGTCATTCGACCGCGACGACCTCTTCAAGGGTAGAGCTGAGGTCTCCCGGGATCTCGAGGTGGCCATCTTAGAAGCATACCAAAGACATGTGCAAATGTAACTCGAATGTGAATTGAGGCTCCACTTCAAGTGCTTTTGTGGGCATCGAGCCGGTGGTCAGAGTGGAGGATATAACCGGCGGAGGATATCCGGAATCCGAACCGACGGAATCCGAAAAACGAGCTCCGCATTCCAGACTGGTTTCTGGGACCTCGTCGCTACTCCCGCGCAAATTTATGCATGCGCCCACCGAGTCCACCAATATACCGATGTTTTTCAAACATCTATTACGAGTACCTTAAATGTCTTGATAGGTCTCGGCATCTCGGAGATTTTGCTCTCAAGTGCGAAACGTTCGAGTTGCGGAGCTCTCCTTAAGAAGAGGTCCGGACATTTCAGTGTTCCCTCTGCGCTCGATGGAAGAGGCTTCCATGTTTCGATTGATCGAGCGTGAAGTCATCGAGCCTGATTGTTTTCTTTCTGTATTGTTATCCTGATGAGAACGATTATTAAAGGTGGCTGCTCAGCTGGATATGCTGATGTTGACCGAACCTCTTGTTGCAGTCGAACTGATAGAATATATGTATATCCTGAGAGATCTTCGAGAGATCCAGGAGAACAGGCGTTCGATAGAAAATCTGATATCTATGTATTTCTCCATTCTTGACATCCTGTGGGGCTACCTCGCCGGTGTGGCGCATTATAGCACAAGGGAACCCATGTTCGGAAACCCAAGTTTTTGATGTAGGAGCTCGATTCGATGTGAAATAAAAGATAAATTGTTCTTTCGACCTGCGAGCAATACTTTACGATCAGCCATCATTCGGGCAAGGGCCATGCATTTACCGCGCCCGATTGGTGGCTTACCCTGCACACCTATCTCTGCAAATAGAGCAGAGATAAGAGGTTCTGGTTGTTTAGGGTTATCAATCAGAGAGTACGCTGTGGATCACTCGGAACAAGTTCACGACAACGTCTCACTCCCCCTCCCACTGAGGAATCCCAACCCTCCAAAACTCGCGGTCAGGTTCTCCTGCAATTGAAGCTAATTGTAAGAAGAGACGCGTTGAGCCAAGTACTCGCTTTGCGAATTGAGCCTGCCTCGTCCCAATGCTGATGAGATTTCTTCACAATTGAATACCTGACTTTGGCGGCGTTCGCATCATTTTCGAGAGGAAACTGAGGACTCGATACGTCGTCCTCACAAACTCTGCACGACTGATTTATTGTTGTGACAGCTCTCCAAGCGGTTCGACAGGGAGAGGGCAAATGGAGCGTTGAAATTCGACCGCGATTATTTACATGACTGGAATTCTCACAAGATAACTTTCGATATAATTTACAGTCCACCCAAGCTGAGTTCTGAAGGGAGTCAGCTTGCGCCTTCTTTCTCTTGGTATGCTGATGTGCGTTATGCGACTTCTAGGGGACGAGCAGTCTTGCTGCTCGACGCGTCACGTAGCCGTTGGCGAATTTGACCGTGTACGTTCTGACGACTCCGTCGCGGCCGATGTTCTGCTCTAGGACTCTGACGAGCTGCCAGCCGATCCGTGGCCGGTTGTCTTCCTCCAAAAGACAGACGTCACCGACGCTTATGACGGGCTTTCCGCCGCGCTCTGTTTCGCTGATGCTCCGGAGTTGAGTAATATACTCGCGACGCCAACGCGTCGCGAGCGCTCTGTAGTACGTGGTGCGGTTGAGGAGATCGGAGCGCAGGCGATTTTTGTTCATCTCGTCGAGCGGGGTGATCGAGCAAAGCGGCGGTCGGAGGGGAGCGCCTCTCAGGAAGTGCGAGGGAGTCAGTGGCGTCGGCTCGTCGGGATCTCCTGAGACGTAGGTGAGCGGACGGTTGTTCACGGTGGCGGCGATCTCAGCGATTATCGTTCGAAGTTCCTCGAACGTGAGTAAACTTCTCCCTAGCGTTCGCTTCAAAGCGCCCTTGACGGTCCCAACCATCCGCTCCCAAAATCCCCCGTGCCATGGAGCGCGCGGGCAGATGAACCTCCATTCCAGTCCGTGCTTCGACAGGAGCTCGCGTATGTCCGGGTGTCTCTTCGAATTGAAAAGGCGCTTGATATCAGCGGCTGCCTTGACGAAGGAGCGTGCGTTGTCCGAGACCAGAGCGGAGCATTCGGGATACAAACTCAGGAACCTGCGGATAGCGAGATGGGTTTGCGCGGTTGTCATCGAGGGCACGAGCTCTAAGTGCACTGCACGAACGGTGGAGCACGTGAAGAGAGCGATGTAATTCTTCTGAGTATCCGAGCCGAGCCGGGTGAGGAATGGACCACAGAAATCCAGACCGCTCGTCTGGAAGGGCACGACAGGACTCAGACGTGACTCCGGGAGAGGCGCCTCGATAACCTTTTGCGTCGGACCGTGTTGTTTGCGACAAATCACGCATTTCCCCAGAATCGACTTGATGCGCTGGCGGCCGCGTGTTATCCAGTAACGACGCCGCAATGCTGCGAGGATCGTGGATACACCCAGATGTGCGTTGACCCTGTGCTCGTCGACTATGAGCAAGGATGCGAGATGTGATTCTCCGGGGATCACGATGGGTGTCTTTTCGTCGTCGGTGAAATGCGGGCTGGCGTAGAGTCGGGTCCTCGCGCGGAGAAGACCGTCTTGATCGATGAACAACTTGAGACCAGCCACCTTGGAGTTCCGAGCGGGGAAGTCGTCGGCCGATGCTGCCTCGAGTTCTCGCGGGAAGTGTTGTCGCTGAGTCCATTTGATGAGATGGTTGAGAGCCTGTTGACGCGAGCAGGATGCGGTGATGGGCGGCAGTTTGCGCATACGTCGTATAGACCTGAAGATCATCTCGGTCGTTCGGACAACCGCTCCCAGCGTGCTGTAGCGCTTGATGTCGACCAAGCATTGGCAATCCGGACGTACGGTGATCGCGGCGCTGGTCATCCGCAATTCGTTGTCGACCGCCGAAAGGGATGGCGTGTCGTCTTGGCCTGGTTGCGAAATGGGTCTTTCAGTCTCCGGGAGAGACAGCCATTCCGGCCCGCGCCACCAAGTGGTGTTTCTGCTGAGTTCTCCAGCCGAGACACCCCTCGTGGCAAGATCAGCTATGTTGAGCGAACCGGGGACATGATGCCATTGATCAGCCGTCGATGAAGCCTGGATCTCGGACACTCGATTGTTCACGAAGGTTTTCCAACGACCGGCTGATGACGCAGTACACCAATAATAGGTTACCATGGAATCGGTGTAGAACGTCACTCGATCAACCGGAACCATGAGCTGGTCAACGATGTAGTTTCGCAATCGAACTGTGAGGAGAGCGGCCATGAGCTCGAGGCGAGGGAGGCTCAGCGGCTGCCGCGGAGCGACACGAGTCTTGGACATGATGATTGAAGTCTTGCACGTTCCATCCGCGAAAAGGGTCTGCATGTAGGCCACAGCAGAGTAGGCGATTGGTGACGCATCCCCGAACAGATGGAGATGACGACCGGTGGGAGGAACGCCGCGAACGCCAATGCAACGTGGGATGCGAACCTTCGAAAGAGCCGGGACCTCTTCTGTCCAGGTCTGCGCATCTGAAGTCAAGTTGCCGCTGAGAGGATCGTCCCATTTGAGATCGGCGGCCCAGAGCGCCCTGAGAAGGAGCTTTCCACGAATGAGGAATGGTGCGAGCCAGCCCAGAGGGTCGTAGATGGAGGCAACCAGCCTCAACACGGACCGTTTGGTTCGAATCCTCGTAGCCCTTGCCCGATCCACGACATGGTCGAGAGCGAACTGGAAGGAGTCTTCCGTTGGATGCCAGGAAATTCCCAAAACTTTGAGGAGTTTTCCCGCATCCAGATTCAACGCAGCTTCCGGAACCCCTCGACGAGTGAGGTGCTCCGCGAGTGGGCGGGAATTCGTCTTCCATTTCGCAAGTTCCATGCCGGCAGAACGCAGATTGTCTTGGATCGTGTCGGCGAAGATCCTCGCGTCAGCAACCGATGGGAAACTTCTCAGAAGGTCGTCGTGATAGAACGATTCCCCCAAGCGCATGGTGGACTCGGGATCGACACGTAAAAAGTGCTCGCGAAGCGTGGCGGCAAGAAGGAAGCCACTAGGGGTAGCTCCCCAGGTGACCTTTTTCATCTGGTAGCAGCGGGGTTGAGTGTCCTCGGGTCCCTGCCACAGAAAGCGAAACAATTGCCTATCAGACTCGCTCACGTTTATGCAGAGATACGCTCGAGCTATGTCCGCGGAAACCGCGACAGCGTGGAGACGAAAGTTCAAGAGAACTCCCACGATGTCCGGGTTGAGGTTGGGGCCAGGGAGCAGATATGAGTTGAGAGATCTGCAGCCACGCGCTGAGGAGGAGCAGTCGAATACAATTCGCCATTTCTCTCCCTTATCCGAAGCGGTAACGACGTTGTGGTGAGGCATAAAGTAGGAGCCTTGGCGTAGCGAAGAGTCCTGCCGGTAGACCTCGGCCGAAAACTTTCCGACTTCCTCCGCGTGTCCCTGCTCCACGAATGACATGACCTCCTGGTGATACCTGCTGTAGGTGACCGGGTGGCTGCGGAGCCCCCTCAGCTTGCTGTTTAGACGATCAAGAGCCTGCTCGAGGTTGTCGCGGAGCTCTTCGACGCCCGGTCTGCGAGGCATGCTGACCGTATATCGTGAGTTCTCATACTTCAGGCTGTCCTTGAACTGACGAGTCGCGCTTAGCTCGTCGGAGCTCAGAGGAGAAGCATCTTCCTTCTCGATGCCGATTGCCTCGAGACTCCATAGTCTCTCGAGCTCCTCGGCGTTGCGCGAAATGCTCGCCACACAACAGTGGACGTTGGCCTGCAGCAGCTCCAGCCGCGGCTCGATCGCCCTTTCGGCTGTTCCACCGATTATCCATCCGAGTATAGATCCGCGGGCGACCAGCTCCCCCTCGAGAGTCTGCTCGATGCCGACATGAGCGATCTTGAAGAATTGATCCCTCCCTATCAACAACGAGACCGATGGCCCGGCTGTGTTCGTAGCGAGCGCGGAGCCAGCCAGACGGTGGGTCGCCGCGAAGCCATCGATGATTTTGCGATCTTTTTCGGAGCACCGAGGCGACGGATCAACCATGAAGTCGTACTCGTATGCGTTGACGTCCACCCGTGCCGAGTCGTGAGTGCTCTGAATGGTACAACCTAAACTGCTTCGAGACGAGGTCGTGATTGGAGGTAAACGTGGTGAGGCCAAGTCGAGCCGAAGATATTGGCTTGAAGTCGGGAAGGAGATGCATGAGTCTCGGCGAAACGAAAGTGAGAGCGCTGCCACTGTCCAGAAAGAGTCGGACTGGAATGCGTTGAGAGCCGTGGACGACGAAAGCGCTTGCCGTGTGGAGGAGAACGGCAGGGATCGATCGCTCGTCGTCGGTGGTCGACACTACAGAAACCGTAGACTTCAAGTCTTCGCAGTGCATGACCGAATAGTGATCGCTCGACTTGCATTTCGTACAATCTTCTCGGGGTCCCTTGCATCTGGTCTTGTCGTCATGACGGAAACGAAAGCATCGATGGCATCGTCTCAACTTGTCGAGAATCTGAAGTCGATCCTTGGGCTCGAGTTTTGCGGTGCATCTCGACGGTCGATGGTTTGGCTGCTTGCAGAAGAAACAGAGACGGCTTCCACTCTGAGAGCTGGTGACAGCAGATACGGTCGAAAATGCGGATCGCGGGTTAGAAGAGGTGTGTTTGCGGAATGGTGCTCTTTGCGTTGAGCTCCGATCCTGATCGCTAGATGTCTGGTTACGCTGGAGTGTCAAGGCCGTCTGCTCTCGATGGCTCGCATATCGGCGTAGGTAGTCGATTAGGCCCTTTATGCTATCGGCAGCCTGATTCGAGAGCGCACTCGAGCTCGATGTCGAGGAAGAGGTCGATGACGTGGCTGGGGTGAGCAGAGCCGCCTTGCTGGACGACTCGGAAAAATCAAAGATCAGGTTCGAAGGAATCGCACCATGGAGAGCCGGCTCGAGAGCGAGAGCGTACTCTGCAAGCGGTGCTCCCAAGGCGTCCATTCTCTGGATCGATGCCTGAACGATGTTGAGGAGACTTCGGAGACCAGCCAGGTCTGAAGACGACTTCACGCGAGGCAGGTTGAAGAGTGTTGCCATGATTTGTTGGCGCTCGATGTTCACTTGACCGAAGGCTTGTTGTAGAAGACTAATGGCTACGTCATAGTTCGTGTCGTTGATCTGCAGGGATTCGATCAAAGCTTTCGCTTCGCCTTTCAGATGTTTTCGGAGAACAACCAGCTTGTCGAGCGGCGTGAGTTTCTTCTTCCGCTCGATCCAGTTTCGGAACTGTGCCATGAACGAGCGATATTGGAGTCGGTCGCCGTCGAATGGCTCCGGTGTGACGTCAGCAGAACTCGGAACACCCGGGCAGGTTGGCAGCGGATCTTCCTCGAGAGCGTTCCGCTCGGTCGGCGCACCAAGATTCGTGGATGCGGCACTCACGTTGCTAGGCCTAACGTCACCGGTCGTCGACGGCAGGCACGCGTTGAGATCGGCAATGCACTGTAGACCGAGAGCGCGATTTTCTTCGTAGCTCTTGGTTTCGCGCTCGAGCTCATCTTCGGACAGATCGGGATGGTCGAGTATTTCGATGTCGAACTCGGATGCCTTGTCGAAATGAGCTTGAGCAACCATGAGCTTGCTGCGTATTCCTCGAGCGTCGGTGTCCGTCTGAGGTTTCTCGAAAGTCTCGGTGGCAAAACTGGCGATTTCGCGCAACCTGTTCACCTCGATCGTGCGGAGACGGCGGATTGTGGCGATGGAGCGAGTCATTGTTTTTCGTACGGATTGCGTCACCTTCTGATCCGGCGGGGCCTCAGCTGCCCGATGTCGCGTCGTCGGTCCGACGGCTGCACCTGACGATTACCGGCCGGCGTGAGGTTTTTTTCCGAAAAATCAGGCATTCGACGACAGGGCACGCGATTGTATCCTGGGCCACGGCACCATGAGATTTCTTCACAATTGAATACCTGACTTTGGCGGCGTTCGCATCATTTTCGAGAGGAAACTGAGGACTCGATACGTCGTCCTCACAAACTCTGCACGACTGATTTATTGTTGTGACAGCTCTCCAAGCGGTTCGACAGGGAGAGGGCAAATGGAGCGTTGAAATTCGACCGCGATTATTTACATGACTGGAATTCTCACAAGATAACTTTCGATATAATTTACAGCTGAGATGAATGGTCGATGTCTCGTACATCCGGAAATCAGGACACTGAATTCGCAGCTCGACCTGAGCAGCGACTTCTGGCCCTCTACATCAGGAGAGGAACCTAATGTAGTGCAGAGCCATCATCCGCGCCGTCGGAGTAGGATTCTGCGCATGGGCCCTGACGAAATTCAGAGAATCACGCACGGCGGACCCAGCTTCTTGTCGAGCTGGCCTGGGAGCGCGACCGACAACAACCAAGCGGTCACGTCAGCATACCTTTGTCCACCTTCCCTAAGTGTCTCGGGGAGGTGCCCGTCTGTGGAATAGCGAACTGTTCTCGAGTGACCTTGAGGAAGAATAAAGCTTATGTGAGTTCATAGGCGGTCCTACCATCCTAGTGATTACATTTTCCCGACTCCTGCCGAAATTTCCAAGGGTATTGTTTCCCAAAAGAGCGGATACTCAGTCGTTTGTTTGATTGGGACCTTTCTGGTACGCGTCCTCTGTAACGAAATCCCTCAGTGGCCTCATTCTCCTCCAAGATTGCGCTCGCATTCCAATTTCTTTAATTGGTCTCTGGGGACAACGAGTTTTCTCGTCGTCGGCAATCGTTCGGGGTCGATCTATGTGTCTGATTGAGTCGCTTCCCAGGAATCCTTTCTTCGGCGATGCTGGTCTTTTCTGCGAAACTCCCCTCCGTTCCGTCGCTATTTCAAGCAACATTAGGAGCCGAATTGGCTCCGACACCCGAGTCAACCACGGGGCCGTTCCGGGATTTCAACTCAAATTTCTCCTCATTCTCGTACGGGGATATTTTGTTCGCTGGAAGAGAGAGTCCGCAGGAAAAGAAGCGCGGGTCGTGGATTCCCCGAGTTTTCCCACCCTTCGTATACGGCTCCTCTCGCCGAAGATCCGGACCAGAGCAATCCAGAAAGCCTTTTTGGGGAGATTCGATATCCCTCAGATGGCTGTATAGAGCTCTCTTCAATAATCTAATGGGGTTTACCTATTTCGGCAAGCCACGTCGCGAGAGGAGTCGGGCGATTCCCGAAATTCTGAACATTTTCAGTCTGAGATATCAGAGGAGTTTTGAAAGCCTCGAAATTCCTTTAATGGAAGTCTGCGCAAAGAACGGTCGAGCTCGGAGCTGTCAAGACAATCTTCTCTCGAGCATGATTTGCCACGAAAATGAGAAAATCGACCGCAATGGGAAAAGTTCGGAACCGACTCCGACGCCTGTCAGATTGAATCAGAGTGAGATTCGTCAAGAGCGTGTTCGAACTCCGTTCCGGGTTGGAGAGGGAGGCCTGCGCAGCTCCGAAGCATGGCCTTCCCACTGCTTGTTTGAAATCGTGAATCATAAATACCCTGCGGGGCAACTATGGAGTTCCACGCTTGCTACACGAATGACAAGTCGACGGATAATTTCCCGCTCATCGGAACACGGAGGAAGACACATCCTCTCAGGCTCATCCTTAGCGCAGGTTCCTCAGGAGTTCCGCGGTGGCGTCTGATTCCAAAGGCTTGACATTCATGGGTGTTTCCGGGCTCATGGATGGATGATTCCCGAAATATTCCACGACCTTCCGAGAGAGGAGGGAGAACGTTCGCATAAATCAGGAGTTCAAGTACCCCGTCTGCTGCTCGCAACAACAGTATTACTCGCTTGCAACGTTTTCAAGAGTGGAGAGAACGATCCTGAAACTACCTCGACGAAGAATATGTGGTACACGGCATGCATTCTTCATTCGACTCCAGGTACTCTCCACTGCTCTCGAACCTGCACATTCAGACCGGGAGACATATGCCGAGGTCTTTTTCGGCCGACCCTTAAAAAATCGGGTACACTCGAGCGAGCTTCCGATATAAAAGAGCGCGATGAAGAGACTCTTCTGGGAGGGACGGAAATCTCTCGACAGCGCACGAACACTCATGATCAGATATTAATCGGAGGTCCCTTCACGCGTTACGTTGCCCCATATTTCTCATGCCTTTCCCCAGAGGCATATCCTCCATCCTGCGCTCGAGAGCTCCTATCTCCTAGCGCTCCGTTTGGCTGTACGATCCCGTATGCTTGAGAGCATAATATATTGCGAATGGATCCAAGAGGAGTATGCTGCGTCTCAGAGGAATCTGTCCTTAGCCTGGAAGCACTACCCATCCACCCTGAATTTGCTTATCAGTTCATCAGAGTCAAGAGGCGTTGAGAGACAGTGCAATGACGACAGCAAACGAGCAGATGATTCTCTTGCGAGAGGAATTCTTGGACCTCCGTTCATCCGGGAGGAGGCCGAAAAACCCCTTTTCTTGTCCTTCAATATCACATGAGTCACAGGACGATCTCAAAACGCGTTATTATTATAATTATTACGTGACTGCGGAAACAGATGCAATGACGCGTCAGACCCGAAGAGGAATCTCATCCCATCTGTGCGTGAAGTATTTCAGAGCCGAAGCCTATGGCGGAAAGCTTTCAGCACAACAAACATCCCCTATAAGGAGCATCCACAGTTTGGTTCGCGCCGCGAGCTCGAATCGCCCCACAATCCTATAGCCTCGCTGAAGCGTCGACGTCAATAACGGACTCGGTCCGGCTACCGGCGAATCCAGGTGAAAAATCACGCTGCAGAGCCACGTTCAAGAGAACAACGTCCGATGATCACCGAACATCCGAGTCGAAGGCTCTGGGCTATGGAGGAGCGCGAGCAATAGAGGAGGCGACACTCCTCAGCAGACGTTCTGTGCTCAGTGAATCAATTCGTCTTCTTCACGGCCTGCCTCTTCGGTCGGATCGATTATTATTGCTATTATAATAATTATAAGTCATTGGCGAAATATCGCGAGCGAGAATGGAACCGGGTCGGTAACGGGAGAAAAGCAAAAATATTCGAGCCGAGCTCGGTGAACGTTTTCCGCGAGGGTTGGGGAGACGTCACTCGGAAAGGAAGATCTGCCGCACGAGGCGGAAGTAGAGAAGTCGTCGTGGCCAATCTCGATGTCGTCACGGTTTGGAGTTTAGTCCAAGATCGGGATTCATTTGATTCATTACGAATTCCGTCTACGAGCGGAGAACGGCGCCGGTGCGTAGAGTCTATTTCCCTGAGAGACTCTCCGGGCAAACGTCTAGGGAAGTGATGGAGCAATTTTCTTTCCAAAATTCGATCTTCTCCGAGCGCATCATGTATGAGTATGTGAGAGGATTAGTTTCTCCCGAATTGAAGAGTGCGCCTGAAACAGGAAACTCTCGCTAAACGTAATCAGTAAGCCCGGGGTGCCACGGCAGCCTCGTCGCGCTCTTTCGCCGAGCGCAAACGGTTCTGCGCTGAGGTTTGAACTTCAAAACCATTGCGATCCCTCGCGGAATCTCAATCAAGGGTTTCGACTTCAGTGATCTGCTACGAGTCGCAGTGATTCTAAGCTGCGCGTGGATTCAGTGGCGATGATGGGTTTTACCGACAGAGACTGATACGAATGTTCGGATGTGCCGGCTTGAGTCTCGTGGGTGCTCGGATGCAAATGAGAGCTAAGATTCCCAGAAGAAGCTGGGACTGAATATCAGGAGCGGTGCCTATCCTATCCTGAGCGATGGCCATACTCCCCTAGCTCGAATATTTCGGAGCGAGGTCCGGTCCCGATCCCACTGAAGGGTCGGTGAGAGACCGTTTCCCATAAGTCGTTTACTGTCGCCATTGCCCTCCACAACGAGCAGAGCGCGGTGCTCAGAGTCCGGGTGGCTGAGTGTTGAGATGAGCGGCTGACGGGGAGCGTCCAAATGGAGTGAGTCCGGATAAGCTGGCGCGCCTATTCGGTGTGCGGAAGTCCGCGGAACGACTTGCTGTGAATCGTATAAACGGTTTAGTGTTCCGGACGAGAATCGATAATATGCATTCCTATCTGGCTAGTTCTAAAAGAGGCTCGTACGCCTGATGCATCGCCACATAGGCGAGCGAAATTATTATTTATTTGCTTGGAGCCCCGTTCGGAAATTCCCGGCTGGTGAGCGCATCGACATCGGAATCGGAAAATTCTCCACCATATCGGGAGCGCTGCGCTCTGCTACTTGGTCCGCGATCGATTCCGCCCGTATATCTCCGCCGCCTGAGCTATACTCCGGAGCTTCCATTCTGAGATATACGCGATTTCTCTCTTGATGCCTCGATGGCGCAGTCCGGAAGAACCTGCTTCTGGAATACCACGGGGGAAGACAAGATCGGGTGAGGCTCGCGCGAGAGAAGTTCACTCGGAGAGAGAAAGGCTCTTGTTGGTGGCTCCAATCTCTAACATGAACAGAAGCTATTGACAGCGTTAAATGTCAATGTGGATCGCTCCGGAATAAACTCGATTCGGAATGTCATTTCATGCCGCTCGAAACAGTGGGTCAATAAAGGGACGTATGAGAAATCTGTCGAAAAGCCTGAAGGGGCGCGCTATCAATTCGAATCTTTCTCGCAGCGAACGAGACTCGAGGAGCGCGCCTCAAACAGCGCCACCGTTCCGCCGGTTAGTTCCTAATCGACGGAAGGACTTCGGAGTATGCGGACTCTGATTGTGTGAGAATGCTGTGAACTGTTCAGTCAGTTGTGTGCTCCGAGTGGGACTGGCGAGCGGCACCGATCTC